CCAGCAGCCCTTGGACAAATGAGAGAACATATGAGCCCAGCAGTCAAATCGATTCCCTTTAAAACCAACAGGAGTCCCCCGGAAAACAAACATCCCCTAGTAATAGATTCCTGGCACCCCGTATGGCTTTTTTTTCCGGTCAAACTCCCGTATTTGGCCGGATTTGCCCGTATGACCATTATTTTTCGGTCATTTGCGTAAATCACCCGTATGAAACCCATATTTGTTCGACATGCTGTTGAAACAAATCCGTAAAAATCCGCATGGCCATTTTTTTCGGTCAAAAGCGTATGACCTAAAAAAAAACAGCCATATGGGGTCCCAGGTTCCCGTTAAAACCAACAGGGGAAAATAGCAATATTACTAAGCAAATGGAAGAACAAGGGTACCCGATTTTTTTTGCTGTGGTCTATTTTAGACACGGGGAACCCTCCCAACCAAAAAGGGGTGAGAAAGGGTACTACTGGGAGACCTAGTGGTGGTTTTAAGCTTGGTTTTCCATGTGCTTTCGCGCCGGGAAAAATGGAGAACATATATGGATCCAGTCAAATGGAGTCCCTTTAAAGCTGACAAGGGAACAACTAACAAATCACTTTTCATCAAAAGGAAGATGAGTCTCCTCTTGGAGAGTTTCAGGAGATGGGTTTCCCCATCTGTCAGCACAAAAAACGATTCTGAGTGCAGATGTGCACCGTCGTTGTTCACCTCCCCCCTACTCCAAATACTCACTTTTTCTAGGTATTTTGTGAAACAAAAAAACAGGTTTCATGGTAAATACTGATCCCTTTTTAGTAGAGGGTCGACAAATCATACCAGCTAAAAACGGCCGGGTATTTGGAGTAGGGGGTCAGCAACTGGACGGATAGCACCTTCGTGGCGATGGATGGGTACCCGCAGACCTTTCTTAACTTCCATTTGCGTTTCCGCGCCCTGGAAAAAACTATCAAATATGTCCAGTAGTCGTAGGTTCCCTTCAAAACCAACGTTAAGCAACTGGAAGTTAAGCAATGGTTTTCCCTCCGGCTGTCCAATTCCAAAGCCAAACCGGGGTGCGGTTTCAGATCCAAGTGTACAACTTGAGAAGAGATACGGCAGATACGGAAGGTAGAATACCTTCAAGTGACCCCCCCCCCAAAAAAAAAAAAAGTGGACGGGCCTTGACACACAAGAGCAAAACGGTGCGAAAAGCGGACCAAAGTGCAAAGCGAGAGAAAAGAGCGGCGAGAAGACCGGAAAAAGGAGCCTTTCGAGACTTTTGGTGGGTTGAATAAACCAAATATGAACAACTAAAAACCCAAGGGCACGGTTGGGAACCGCCCAGGATTGTCTCACCTGCCCAAAGCGAATCGACCATTTAAACTGTCGGTCGCTCTGATCTGGTCCATATTTGGTCTTTTGGTTCCGCCAGGTGATCACCTGTGATTTCCATTTGGGCGAATGGGATCTTCAAACGCCACGAAGATCTAAATGGGTCTTACCTCTTCACCTAGTCCCAGACCCCAGACCCTCACTTCCTGAGTTTCAGGTCCATTTTTTTGGTCCCAGACCCGGATTTCCGAAGCGTACCCAGTGGATTCCCATGCAGGAAAAAAGCCATCGGGCATATTCTTTGGTTGGGGGTACGTAGTGGATATGGTGCGAGAAGTACAAGTAGGGAATGTGGGAATGACCCCCGAGATAAACCATGCAACTTGTGGCTTCCTTTCGAATCCCCTTCTTTAAGGTCCACCTGTTGTCCGGCTCTCCATGCTTCGAAGCTCAGAAAAAAGTACCCCCAGCCCCTGAACCTTCCGGAACCTTGTTAGATGATATCCCCAGCCTTGGAACCTCCTGGCACCCCCTTTTCACTTTTTGAAGCAAAATAATCCCGAGATTTTCCCTCAAGCATCATCACAAAGATTTCCTCACTTGAAAAACTTTAAAGTAGAAATGCGGGGCATTTTACACACGGTGCTTTGCATGACCCGCGCAAACCACTCAACAAGTGATATGTTCGACATGGAAAAGGCTACCCATGGTCATTTGGGGTTAGGAACGTTGATCAACATTTGGAGTGACCAGAAACGGGACAACAAAAAACTAGTTGTCCCATTTAACTGGCTTTTTGGGGGTTGGGGGTTTGGACTTTTTTCCCACGGTGGGAAGAGATTTGTATGGTCAAAACTTTTCACTGGGGCCCATGGAATGTTGTGCTCCCCAAATGAAGGGAACCCACGCAGAGGGACACGCCCCCCGTAACCTCCCAAATTTCCCATTTTGTTTTAGAAGCAACACCAACAGGCCAACCAACATTTTGCGGATCCGCAGACACAAGACACACCCATATAGTTCTTGGGGTTGATCAAAAGGTCCGGTGAACATGGGATGGCCATCGCGGAAGCCAAACAAAAAAGGACTCTCACCACAAAATAGCCCCCGTAACCTCCAAATACCCGGCCTTCTTCTAGTTGGTATTTTTTTTTGGGGAAAACCGGTTTCGGGCTTTTCATATGGTAAAGACCGATCCCTTTTTTTGGTAGAGGCTCGACATGATACCCTGAAAAAAGCGGGTATTGGGTGTAAGGGCTAGGACAAAGAGCTTCGGACGCAGGGTTCAATCCCGAGGCGCCATGTGAGAAGAGGCATCCAGGGAATCCAGGGAGTCCAAAGGCCTGAGTTACGGAGGCCGTTTAAACACGGAGGTTTTTTACTGCCTTTTTACGGGGTGTTTACGGCCGTTGACAAAAGGCCTAAGTTACTCAGGCCGAGGAAGCTCTGGGGAAAGTACCTCTCTTTCAGTAGAGGCTCGCCATCATACCCTAAAAACACGGGAATTGGGTAAATAGACTCTGCCTGTGGTCCTTCCGCAAAGTTGGGTATTCGTGCAAACGAAGATAAACCTGTCCTGCAGCCTCCATTGATACAATAATTTTGGGGAGGAAACAGAACGCTATAGCGTGTCAATTTGTGCGTCGAAACAGGTGGGAGGCATATATGTTTGCTTACGATGGAAGCTCCAGGGTGTGTTCACTTCGGATTCATTTGGAGGGCCTGACTTGTCAGAGGCACCCCCACGAAAAGTTTATGAAGGTGATATTTGTCCACATGGGAAGAGCTATTTGGTCAATATACCTGGTGGCCAGAAATGGGGAATGTTGATCGAGCCCGAAGGAAACCCGCACAGGTTGATAAGGACAAAGAGCTTCGGTAAGGGCAAAAGGGCAATTCATACCAGGCATACTCAGCAAGCCTCTGATTTCACCACAAACTCACTTCAAACATCAAAGTGGAACTTTGATGCTGAAATCCATACAGATTCCAAAAAACCCAAAACCATCGCCCATGGTTTTTTGCAGTCTTCTCGCTGTGGCGTTTTCCCGGTCGCCTGTGTAGAGATGACCGCAGCTGTGGTCAAAGGAGCGCTCCACCGCGCTAGCGGCGCACCTCACCTCGGCTGAGATCGATGGTTGGGATTCCTCCCTGTTTGGGATCTATATGGTGTCCATTGCTTTTCTCGGGGAGTTCACCGATGGTTTCTTCCTCACTTCTTTGGGGAATCTTTAACTTTGTAAGATTCAGGGGTGGATCCACAGATTCGCAGCATCCAAGCCCTTTTCTGGCATGACCATTGCGTGCTGTCTAAGTTGCACCTCAAGGAGGTTGGGTGCCCATGAGTTTCCCTTAACAAAACAAGGGCATCGTAACAAACATATCCCAGCTCTATCACCCCACTGATGGCTTCTGAATCCGGGGAATTCAGGATCCAAATCTATCCACAGTGAGACACAACCGCAACAAGGGAAACCACCCGATAAATGGGTTTTCTGCTTGAGCAACCTAGCTAAATGCTTGGTAGTCCTAGCTGCTCCCCTGGACACGATCGGACAAAGAACGCCAACCACTTCCACTCTTCCCTCAGGCTCATGACCCTCCAATGCAGGCCCCCGGGCCCTCCAACGAAGAACCCGGACCCCTTTGGGGGGTCCTTGAAAACAACAACCATTTTGAGGGCCCAAAAATCATCGAATTGGAGCCTTAGGGTTTTAGGAATCTATTCTCAGCTTCCCTGTCATTGGTTTGGAGGCCGTCTTCAAAGGCCAGGGACCCGTAATCCAAATTCAAACCACCGGGCTCCAAACCACCAACTAGGTGCTCCTTTTGGGGTGTGAATTTGCAGCACCAAGAGTGACACAAACTAAAGGCGTGATCTGAGGTGCTTTGAAGCCAAAACAAGTCATAGACCGGTAGTCCTAGATTTTCCTTAAAACAAGAGAACAACTCACAAACCTTATCAAGCAAGTGGAAGGTTCGAAGGCGCTCAAAATCAAAACGCAGTGGCTCACAGTGGTCTGCCCCAAACCATGAAAGGAGCAAAGGGTCAGATGACCCTGAACTATCCGCACATTATTCTTTGTTTGCCCGGGTTTTGATTGCGGCTCGATTAACTCCTGTTGGGCATTGTCGCACTTGACTTGGGATTCTAGCCACTAAAAAACAAAAACATCAGACGGTTTGAGAGAATGCCACATTCGAGGAAAAGCATGCCAAGAAGGTTCAAGCTGTCTGCTTCTTAGGGGTTGCTACTTGGGTGCTTGGTTTGATGACTTAAGTTGTAACGGTATCCTGGGTTGCAACCTACCCCTTACTCCAAATACCAGCTTTTTTAAGGCTTTTTTTGGAATAACCTGGTTTTCCACGCTAAACACCTCCTTTTTTAGTAGAGGGTCCACATGATACCAACTAAAAAAAGGCCGGGTATTTGGAGGTTACGGGGGTACTTGTAGCCCCGTTCAGTGGACTAGCTTGACCCTTTACAACGAACCTGGCCAAACAAAGGCACCCAGGAAACAACCGATTCCATGTAATGTTAACCCCGGATGAATAAATCCCTGGTTGATTAATAAGGGGGTGTCCCGATTCTTTTAGTGGGGATTCATCACTTTTGGAGGGAACACCCCCCTAATAGTGGGACGAGTTTATTAATCCTGGGTCAACATTACTCACTTTGATAAACCCCAGAAACAAAAATATGACCCCGGAAACCAAACATCCACATAGGTTCTGAGAACCATAGAGCTCGATACTTAGGCTGCTCCCTCCGTCGGATGGAAGGAGCGAAAGGTTGGTTATTTTAGGCACCCCCGCAACCAAAGACCAAAGGATCGCCTTTTTTTGATTTGCTATTTTTTGGAAAACCGGTCGGTTTTCCAGGGTAAATACCGACCCCGATTTTAGTACGATTCGTTCACACCGAAGATGGAGTCCCTTTTTCCTATTGAAGGGACACCGAAATACAAACCGCCAAAAGCAAAGAGGGGTCCCTAAAAGAAACGCACCCACAAACTTTGGATTCATAAACCAGGCCCAGAGCTTCCTCGGCCTAAGTAACTTAGGCCTTTTGTCAACGGCCTTAAAACCCCGTAAAAACCAACCCGTGTTTAAACGGCCTCCCTAACTCAGGCCTTTGGACTCCCTGCGATTCATAAACCACGGGGGTGGTTTTCCCGATTGGGGATTGATTCACTTTTGGAAGGAACCCCACCCTATGAATCGGACGGGTACTTCGGGGTCCACATTTGCCCTGGTCAAATTGTCGAACGCAGAACCTAAAGCATGCCAGGCTTTGCGGAACTTTCCGCGATTCCCCGTTCTTAGGCTTCTGCCAGAATTGTCCACAAGTGAAATTGAGAACTGGTACCCCCTACTCCAAATACCCACTCTTCTAGGCTATTTGAGAAAACCTCGTTTTTCAATGTAAATACCTCATTTTTCAGTACAGGGTCGACATCATACCCCCCCCCCCAAAAAAAAAAAGAAGCGGGTATTTGATGGAATTGTTAGGAGTGCTAGCATTGCTGGTGGTATTGACCATTGTCGGTATGGTTGTCTTGACGGAGTTTGCTTCGCGCGGATCAGCACATTACAATCGGGCGGAATGTCAGAGTTTGGCACAATGCCTGGAATTCCTTGGAAACTGGAGGGATGTTTGGTTTGCTGGCCCTACATGCTATTTTACCTTTGTTTCTTTGTTGCAACTGCAACTGACTGGTGCAAGACCGAGACGTTGGCTTCGTGTTCCCTTTCTGGGACAGGTCGTTTCATTGATTGTGATCGAACCTGATTATGGCGTACCAGGTCGGTTGTCAGTGCCAATATTTGGCCGACCTGCGGGTGTCAGCCATGCAGTTGGAGAGCTGTCTTGGTTTGTTCTGCTTGCCTTGGCCTTCTGTGAATTCGATTTTCGCGATCCTGATGTTGGCACCTCTTGAGTAGGGGGTACGGTGAAACGCGGCACCCAGTTTCAGGATTTCGCGTTTCATCCTTGTTGGTCGGAAGCGTTTGCAAACTCTCTTCGTGGTCTTGTAAAGTGGTTGTCTATCCTGAAAGGGTGCTGGTGACCTACCACATAAGGGGGGAGGGGTTCCAGGATGGGTTGCATGTGAAACAAAAACTTCCTAGCCCACCCGCAGGAAGCTCAGGCGGAAAGTCCCTGCGCCTTATTTCAAATACCCGCTTTTTTCAGGGTATGTTTTGAAAAACTTGATTTTCCACGGTAAATATATCCTTTTTAGTAGAGGGTCGACATCATACCCTAGAAAAAGTGGGTATTTGGAGTAGGGGGTACCCTTCCACGTTCCATGGCACCTGTCGCTTCCTGGAAGATCAGTTTCCTCGAAAGAGCCCCTGGGTGCCACGTTAGACATTAGTCCTCCATTTGCTGCTTCGCCCCCAGGAAGAAATGAGAAAATAGTTCCAGTAGTGAAAGTGATTCCCTGCAAGAAACCAGCAGGATAACATGACAAAACACATTTCAGCAACTGGACGTTTGGGCGGTTTTCAAGGGAAACCCAAAGGAACACCGAGATTCCATGGTGCTTTTTCTGTCAATTGTGTTTTTTTGCCAAAACCAACAGGGGCAACAGCAGGGATCCTTACATTATACACCTGAACATTGCCACTTGCAAATGGTGGTGTCCAACTTTATTTTGGTGGAAACACCCACATGTTCTAAATGGGTAAGCTGTATCTTTTGAGGAGCCCGGGCCAATCAAACAAATACTCAGCGAACGGCTTCGTGGGATCTCGGCTTCGTGAGCTTAGCGGCAAACGCCGGGCCCAGGCCGCAGCCCTTCATGGCGGAGTCCTCGCCGAGCCGCCCAGCCGCCGAGAAAACGCGGGCCGAGTGGCTCGGTTTCGCGTTCCCTTATGCCACAACCGGTTTCAGAGCGGGGCCAACGGATTTGGCGGGTCAAAGTTAAGCCAGTGCCAGGGGACCGGGGACCGCAGGTTTTGGTCCATGTTTCCCACTGACTAGGGTTCCATTTGCGGTACCTATTGTTGACCCACGGCCACATGGAACCTGAGGGTTCGGGTTTGGACCAGTTTGCTATGAAAGGGACCCTCTGCCAGGTTCCATGTCAATTTGGTAAATGGAAACAAGGACGGTAGCCGGAGGTCCAATTCCTGGTGGTTCAAGTTTGAGCCTAACCCAAATGTGAACCCTTACTTGGGTGTTCGGATAGGTTGGAGTTCTTGGTAGCCTGGATACAAAGCCCACGATTGCTTTGTCTCGTTAATGCTGCTGGGGGGTTCAAACCCCATGGCTAACCTAACTTGGCCGAAACATCCAAGTAAAGCTCAGGCTCCCTAAGGAACAAACAAAACGTGAAAGGAGCTCTCAGCTACCCCCCCCCCGAAAAGCGAAAAGCCCCGAGCCAACTCTTGGCGAGCGGACCACGAAAGCAAGCCAACCCTTTATGGGGCGGGGCCCAAAATAGGGGGTTTTAGATACAAGATCTTAATGGTCATTTTCCTAAGACCCCTTGGTCCCTTGCTTTGCAATGCACTCGTTAGGAGCTTTCTTTGAGGGTCGGGTGTTCAGTGCTGCGTTTACCGGCATTTAAAGCGATTCTTCCTTGACACCCATTAAATGGAAACGGAAAGAAGTATGTTTAAACAAGATGGCGTGTGTCTTTTTTGAGGGTGTTTTGTTTTAGAAGCACCACCAACAGGCCAACCACCATTTTGCGGGTCAGACACAAGACACACCCATATAGTTCTTGGGGTTGATCAAAAGGTCCGGTGAACATGGGATGGCCATCAGGGAGGCCACAAAAGAAAGAACCCTCACCAGAAAATCGCCCCCTACTACAGATACCCGGCCTTCTTGTTGGGGGTATTTTTAGGAAACCCGAGTTCGGTGTTCCATGGTACCTTTCCGATCCCTTTTTTAGTAGAGGGCTTACATGAGACCAACTACAAAGAGGCCTTGGGTCTGGGGTGGTTACGGGGAGGAGCCGGCCGGCGCCCCGAAAGGCCGCCGATTTTTATTTTCGTCCGGTCCAAAGGCGTAATTATTCGGCCCGTGTTTACCCGCAGGGTTTTTTTTTCCCCCCGGTGATTTGCCTCATTTGCCCGCATTTGGCCGTGTATGGCGGTATAAAGCACTTAGTTTGTCGGTAAAGTAACATCGAACAAAAAAACAATAAACAAGTATTTGGCTGTATGACCGGTTTTTTTGCGGGGAAAGCCTTTTGACCAAACAAAAGCAGCCTTTTATCAACATTCGGGTGGTGCACGTTGTTTTTTTTTGGGAGGGGTTCTTCCGCTGTGGAGCATCCACTTAAGACCCCAATATGGGCCTTCCCGGGCTCTTCATGGGGGTCCCACTTTTAGAGACCCCAGACATGTTTACTTTGGGGTTCAGGATACGAGGATAATTTGAAAACAGGAACTTTGCTGCCTAGGTTTTCCAGGATTGTGTTTGTTGTTTGGCTTGTTGCATGTAGCCCAACTATTCATGTGGCGCACCTCCCATTTTTAGCCGCCCTTCTACCAGTGCTCTAACCATAGGTGTCCGTTTTAGTGTGCTTCAACATAATAGATGGCCCTGGTTTAGTTTGGTTTTGCATTTCTCCGGGAAATGTATTTACCAAATGGACAAAGCCCCAGAGGTTCAGGTTGGAGAAATTCCTAACCCACATTCGCAACAACCATTTGGATATGATTTACTACGGTTTTGTGGTTGACCATGGTTAGTGTCTTGCAGTATTGGGTTTGCATCCAGTGCATGTTCACTTTAGATGCGATATACATCAACCACCTGGTACTGAAGGGGTCCATGCAAAATCAAATGGCTGGCACTGTCTTTTATCTCCTGGTGGCTCCTTAGCTCCCGTCTTAAAGGCGCATTTGGCTAGTAGACGGGTCTCAAAATCAATGCTTACCCCTTAAAACTCCAAGCCCTGGGGAAGTCAATCTTTTAAAGACATATGGCCCATGTTACCCAAAAAGTTGAAAAGTTGTGTTGTCTCAAAATCAATGTAAAGAATAAGGTTGGATATCCGTATGGCTGGTGTCTGAACTCTCTTACCGGGCTTCGATTGTAGCTCAAATGACGGTGGGCTTGTCTCCAACGGACGGGCACCAGAATCATATGCTTCCACAGTTTGGTCTTCCTTTGACACAACCCAAAGCGAGTACCGTTCAAAAGCACTGCATATCTTTAATATTCCTCTCATACATGCGCATACACCGGGAACAGCCTCGAAATGGAAACGGCCCCTTACCAATGGTCCAAGCAACAAACATGTATCAAGGAAAGTCCGAAACGGAACTCAGGGAGTGTGGGCTAGCTGGAAAGGGAAATTGAGCATGGGCTATGCCCCAAAATCAGGATTGGTGAAATGGTGAAATCCCTTTTCTATGGGCAGTTTGAGGGAGGTAGTTGCCTAGGTCCTCCAGTAGAGAGGTTAGACTAAGGGTACCCTTTTTGCCGCCGTCTATTTTAGTGAAAAAACCCTCCCAACCAAAAAATTGAACCGGTACAAGTTGGCACCCTTTCGCTGGGGGACCTAGTTTTGCATTCAACGGGAAGCCAGAAAAACGAGCGACCAGCGCTCGCGCCATCCGCGCGCCAAAAGTCCTGCGCCAGCTGGGCGATGGCCTCCGGCGGCAGGCCCAGCATCGCGGCAGCGGCCCCGGGGTTGCAGTGCATGCCCGCGCGGAGGTGGAGGCCCGCCTGCGGGCCATGGCGCGGAGAAAAAACACAAAAACACGCCCGCAAACACACGTCTCTGGCAAAGATGGGTCTCTGTACCGGGCAATCAGCATTCCAGGCCTTAGGTGGTGCAGGATTTTGTCCATCCACAGTGGGTGTCCTTTTGGGGGAAATAGATGGCCCTGGTAGGCCTGCCAAGTTGAAACCCTGCGGAGAAAAAGAAAACAAGGTTTGCAAAATTTGATCTGCCGAATGTCAAATGGCAGCTCTCCTGGTTGTAGTCAGCCACTTTCCGGGCACATGCTGCTTTGATGGTTGCCTCCCCCTGTAACGTTGACTCGATTTTGGGTCTGGTCGATGTGTCCCACCTTGTCGTGGAATCCAAGGGAACCCAAAACCCAAAAGGACATTCCTCTAACATCAGTTTTTTCCGGTTCCTCCCACGGGGAATTCCTCAACGAAGACCACAACTCGCTGTGCATAAGCAAGATGACTAAACCCTTAAATGCGATTTCCATCTTCACCCGGTGATGAAAAAGGACACACATATTTCCAGTAGTGAAATCGATTTCCCTTGAAACAAAGGGAAATGACAAGATACATATTTCATTTCAGCAAATGGAAGCCTTCCTCGTGCCTGTCAATTGGACCCAAACAAATCAACAGGAGCAGAGACGTTCGACAAACAACCCGTCAGCTACAGCAATCTCTCCGGATCTGTCCTGATTTCCCGACATTTCTTCTCAAAACACTGTGATTTGCAAGCAGGAAACTCACATTGGGAACGAACACAGTGACGATCATGGACTTTGAAGGGGGGCTATGGGGAGGGGGCTATCCCTTATTAAGCCCTTCATAAGGCATTTTTAGGGGCTTAATCCTGGGCTTATCCTGGGATAGAGCCCCCCCCCACCCCCCCCCCCCAAGCCCCCCGAAGATTGCATGAGATAATGTATAGAAAACATTCCTAGGACTCCGGCCGGGGAAATTGGTGTGGTTTCATGTTCCCCCAATTCCTTAGGTCCAGTAGAGAGGTTAGAACAGTACCCGATGTCTTTGTTTCTTTTCGGGTTTGCATATTTCAGCAGGGGAACCCTCCCCCAAAAAAGGATAAAAGTGGTTAGAACAACCGTCTATTTTAGGGTAACCCACAAAAGGGGTGAGCGGTCGGGCACCTGGGGGACCTAATGAGAGTCCGGGACGCGCCCGTTGCATCGTGAATTAATTCTCCCCGGCACGGAACCGGCTCAGCATAATATTCAGCATGGCTCAAATGCTCCTGGCTGCTGACCCCAGGTCACAACAGCCCCAGACTCAAGAATGGCAGCAAAAGCCTGCTCAGTTGCTTGGATGTGTTGGACGTTCTTTAGCTGCTCTTGCACTCGGCTGCAGTCTCCGCCACGTCCCGGATTACCCCAGGTCACAACAGCCCCGGATTCAAGAATGGCAGCACAAGCACGGGCAGGTGCTTGGATGCGCTGCACGTTACTCAGCTGGTCTTGCACCTGGCTGCTGTCTCCTCCCAAATTTGGAATGCCCCAGGTCACAACAGCCCCAGACTCAAGAACGGCAGCAAAAGCCTGCTCAGTTGCTTGGATGTGTTGGACGTTCTTTAGCTGCTCTTGCACTCGGCTGCAGTCTCCGCCACGTCCTGGATTACCCCAGGTCACAACAGCCCCAAATTCAAGAATGGCAGCACAAGCACCGGCAGTTGCTTGGATGTTCTGCACGTTACTCAGCTGGTCTTGCACCTGGCTGCTGTCTCCTCGCAAATTTGGAATGCCCCAGGTCACAACAGCCCCAGACTCAAGAACGGCAGCAAAAGCCTGCTCAGTTGCTTGGATGTGTTGGACGTTCTTTAGCTGCTCTTGCACTCGGCTGCAGTCTCCGCCACGTCCTGGATTACCCCAGGTCACAACAGCCCCGGATTCAAGAATGGCAGCAAAAGCAACGCCAGCTGCTTGGAAGTGCTGGACGTTCCTCAGCTGCTCTTGCACCTGGCTGCTGTCTCCGCCACAATCCGAGTCACCCCAGGACACCACAGCCCCAAATTCAAGAATGGCAGCAAAAGCAACGCCAGCTGCTTGGAAGTGCTGGACGTTCCTCAGCTGCTCTTGCACCTGGCTGCTGTCTCCGCCACAATCCGAGTCACCCCAGGACACCACAGCCCCAAATTCAAGAATGGCAGCAAAAGCAACGCCAGCTGCTTGGAAGTGCTGGACGTTCCTCAGCTGCTCTTGCACCTGGCTGCTGTCTCCGCCACAATCGGAGTCACCCCAGGACACAACAGCCCCGATTCAAGAATGGCAGCAAAAGCATACTGGGTTGCTTGGATGTGCTGGACGTTCCTCAGCTGCTCTTGCACCTGGCTGCTGTCTCCTCCGTATCGTGGATCACCCCACGTCACAACAGCCCGAGATTCAAGAATGGCAGCGAAAAGCACCGCCAGTTGCTTGGATGTGCTGGACGTTCCTCAGCTGATCTTGCACCTGGCTGCTGTCTCCCCCGTACCCAGGATCAC